TAAATACATGTGGTCATGGACCCAATTTATAATAAGAAAATCACATTAATCTACATTTTAAGTGCAAAACATAGTTTATCTGATTAAGTTTCATGATTGGTTAACTATAGCTAATATAGTTAAAAACTCTAAAGTTTACGAATGTCAATTATAGTTTATGACTACTATATTTCAGCTGTTAACTATAGTTTGCGAGTACTGTGAATGATATAGTTTATGACGATAAAATTTGACTGGCAAAGATTAACTACTAGGTATAGTTTAGGACCAAAAACTATCATTTACAAATGTAAAGTTGTAAGTTATCTGATAAATAAAGCTAAATTAACACCATATGCAAGTGATAATTGTATACTGCCACAAGAAACAATAAAGTTGACGAGAAAAAAGTTGGTTATCATGTTTATCATAAAGTTTGGGTGTTAGCTTGTCACCAATGTCTTTCTCTAATAAAACATTCATATTGCGACCTTTTGACCTCTCTATAGGGTATCAAGCCCCCCCCCCCCCAATAACAAAAGCCCCGTGGGCCACAACGCTCACTTGAGTTACTATGGTTCGTCCGTCTTCATCGGCAGATTTTCCCTTATTTTTTTTCTGTATAAAAGTCAGAGCCAACCTTATACATGTACCCAGGGGTCATGATTTGAACAAACTTGAATCAACAACATCTGATGATGCTTCCATATAAAAATGAACAAGAAAACATTGATGTAACCATCAATAGTCGCCCGGGAAATAAATAAAGTAAACAATGGAAATGAGTCTTCATCATCAAACCGCTTCGATATGTGTGAAAAAGGCATGCGTCTAAATGATGGAGACGATAGTCAAGAATATTTTGAAAACTTATAGTCGGATGAAAATCGAACAAAAACGATACCCTTTTAAACTTTATCAATTCCTCAAGTAAATGTTGGCTGCATAAAATATAATTTGAAACCAGACACTTGCATCACCTATTTTCAAAAATATCTTTCACTTTAAGAATATAAAACACGAACTGTGTAAAGTTACATTTTTACGTTTTTATGCGATAAGTAAAATTCGATGTTCTAAAAAAAGGGACCTGTCGTTTTTTCGATAGTAAATGATAAGCAACTTTATATATTAAATATGAAAAACGTATATATTTTTACAGATTCACTTTATGGAAGTAAATATATTGTGTATCTCGTAATTTATAAAGGGAAAGAACATTGTGATTAACAATCTTTTTAATGTTTAGAAAACCTTTAATTCTGAATAACTTCTCCCACCTCAATCCCCATATACCAACACTTAAACTTATATGTATAGAGCAGCCCGGTCCTCCGGGCTGCAATAAAATATGGATTTGCTGTTCTGGAACTGTTAACGCATTTGAAAAAAATTACTGTTCGGAGAGGACTCTATATAATGTATAATGGGCCTGAAAGACATGAATTTTACAATTTTGATAAATGATTGAGGATGGTTTTAATATTATTTTGCATATAAGTCATTAGCTGTTCTTAAAAAAAGGTGAAAAATTTTAATATTTTAAGTAATTTATGCTGTATAATATATTTCAATATACATGTATGACCATACCAACTTACCCCAATCTGTGGTCTGAATACTGGATTCAGGAACCATGAATTTTACAATTTTGGTAAAGGACTCATTGCTAACAGTTTAATTGCTTGATGTCCATGAAATAAATGCAATTTTTATTCCCTTTAATGTTTTATTTGGTTATGTATTAAATACTGGTTGTAATCACAGACGGTTTTCCTGCGATATGTCCATGAGTAGAGAAGAATTTTAAATGTGTTACAATGTACTTTCAGTATATGACCAGAATAACTCCACCCTGGTGCCTGAGAGTTATTTGATTAATTATTATAATTATGGTAACTAAGTGTTTGCTGGACAAATGTTTAAATGGACACGGCAGTGGAAGTTAATGTAAATATATAATATACAGGTATGCATATATAAAATCAAGAGGCCCATGGGCGGCAACGCTCAAGAGAGTCGCTATGGCCCTGTTTTTCTTCATCAGCAGAACCCCCCCCCCCCCCCATTCCTATGTAAGGCTTTGATCACATATAGTGCCCCACCATAACCCAGAGGTCATGATTTGAATAAACTAAAATCTAAACTTCCTGAGGATGTTTTCATATAATACATATAATTAATCATGGCTTTGCTGTTCTTGAGAAGATTTTAAAAAGTTGTTTGCTATGTATTCCTATGTTAAACAATGACCGCCCATTTTGCCCCCCCCCCCCCCCGGGTCATGATTTGAACAAATTTGAATCTAAAGTACTTGAGGATGCTTCCGTATCAATATGACTAACCAGGTCTTTGCTGATCTTGAACAGATTTTTTTTTAAAAATCTATTATTATGCAAAACAATGATGGTCAATTGCTCTACCTTAACCCTGGGAGTCAAGATTTTTCCCTACATATTTCTGTGTAAAAGTCAGACCCAACCCTATACCCAGGGTCATGATTTGCACAAACTTGCATCTGCACTACTTGAGGATGCTTCCTTATAAATTCAACTAATGACTGCTATTCTCGAGAAAAGATTTAAAGACCCTACATATTCATAAATTGTGTACGTCTTTGATTGCCCATTGTGCCACCCTTCCATCAAGGGTCATTTGAACAAAATTGAATCTAGACTACCTAAGGATGCTTCATTATAAATTTTAACCAAATTTATAACAATTTTTTTTTAACAAACTTGAATCTACTCTATGTGAATAAATGAGGCTTTCACATAAGTTTAATTTTTTCCATGCTAGTGGTTCTTGAGAATTTTTTTTTTTTGAAAAATGCCTATAACTTTTCACTTATTCTTAATTCTCTTTTGGAAAGAGAACGTGGCCCTTCATTTGAACAAACCTGAATCTCCTTTACCCAAGGATGCTTTATGGTTAGTTTTGTTGAAATTGGCTCAGTGGTTCTGGATAAGAATATTTTAAACAAGAGGCCCAGGGCCTTAACGGTCACCTGAGTACAATACAACAATTTAAAGGATCTATAAACTGATAAATGAAGCTTTGTTGCCCAAAAGTAAGACATATAGTATGATTAGCATCAACAAAATAATTGGTCTAGTATCTATCTGACCCCCATTTATCACTATTACCTTGCAGACTTTTAACAAAATGCCTATTTTTAACTCCATATTATTACTTCTCACATTGGCCTCTCTTGGCCTTGGAAGAACATTTAAAAAGATAAGTTATTTTTGTCTCATTTTTATTCATTTATTATTTCCAAATCTACCTGATCATTAAAACTATGAAAGTACTTTTTGTATTATACAATAACTATTCTTGAATAATTCTCTTATTCTATTAACCTTTCAAATACATTATTTACAGTGATTAATTATCAAAGGTGAATGGCAAAGGGGAATAACTTTGCTCAGCAGAATACAAGTTAACAGAGCCCTGGCCAGGACCAGAACACTTGACTAAATGGTCCAGGTGTTCAAAATTCTGGTAAAAATACCCTTGCATATTAAAACTTTTACTCTGTTTGCCTTGAATATGCCCAGAAGCATAGAAGATTTTCAAAGAAATGCATTTTCACTTTATTATTAAATAAATAAAACACCATCCTTACACCAGAACATCTGACCCATTGGCCAGGAACTCACAATTCTGGAAGAAGCACCCTTGCTCATCATAACTATACACTTGTTTGTTTGCTTTATAAACAGTAGTAGAAAAAAAATATTTCGAAAGAAATTATGCATTTTCACTATATAATCAATAGAGCCCCGCCCTAACACCAGAACCCCTGATCCTGGGGCCATGAATTTCATAATTTTGGTAGAGGGCTCAATGCTTATTACAATCATGCCAACAGTTTGACTGCTTGATGTCCAGGAATAAAGAAGATTGCATTAATTTTGGTGGTTTTAGCCCCACCCCTCAGGCCCCAGGGAGACAGGGACCATGAAATTCACAATTTTTGTTCCCCTTTACCCATAGATGCTATATGCCAAATTTGGTTGAAATTGGTTGGGCAGTTTCAGAGAAGAAGCTAAAAATGTTCAAATGTTAATGCACATCGCATGACGCACGACGACGGACAAAAACGGATAGCAATAGGTCACCCGAGTGACTTAGGTGACCTAAAAATGTGAAAAGTTTACATCAACGATAGACAACATACAAACTTGGATCAGAAGCCTTTGGCTCAGGTGAGCTAAAATGTATACAATAACTACTACTTAAACTATAGTTTACAATTGATAAACATAGTTTATCAACTGAAAAACTATATTTAGCTCACTTTTATGAGTTTAGCACAACACTTACACCCTTGCTTCCTCGTCGATTTTTTGTCCAGACATGATTACACTTCATATAAAAAACCCCTATTATATAGATTTTGTTATTTCTGACCTTGTTTTTATAGAGCAACTTTTCACGACTTCGCCATTTTGCTTTTTATTACTTTTTACCCTACCCTGAGAGAGAAAGGGGGAAGGGGGAGTCCTTCTTTACAGAGAAAGCAAACTTGATTGAAATATAAAGTTTCTGGGCTAAATGTCCAATACTGTAAATCAAATTTTATTGGAAAGAACTTTAAACATAATTTTTCAAGACTGTTTATAGTTGCAATGATAAATTTCATGTAAATAATAACTGTAAATGACTCTAATTACTAATATTTCCGAGGGACCACAAAAAGCAATGTACTAGACAAGTATACCTAGCAAAAATAAAGTTTTATAATAGAGGTTATACACAGTATTTGATAAAAATCATAGCAGTGCAAATAGCACAGATGAAGAGGAAAGTCAAACCTCAGTATCTCGAACTCAACTTTGTGATATCCGAATTCGAGATAAAGAGGTTAAAATACACAAAGAAAAGTGGTAAGAGCCTTCACTTCAATTTATCTGGGTTTTGAAATATTCATGTTTGAGATACCGAAGTTCAAGTAGCTAACTCAAGCCTACAGAGTTGAATTTCAAAATTATACCAATGATAACTTTAACAAATAATAATTTTGCAATACTTTTTAATTTTTCACATAGCAAATTGTTGATCAACATCAATAATACTCATAATAACAATATGGATACCAATAAGAAATAATTCACATTTACAGCAAAAAAGTCCCACATGAATAAAAAGGAGGCATTAATTAAAAGTGTTATAGTACAGTTTCATGTAAAGTTTTGTACTTCTTACTGTTCATTGTTCTGTAACTGCCTCTGGTAACTTCTAGATGCTAAATTAGTTTTTTTTAGTTACAGCTCTCTTAATCATTCAAATACAGAATTTAAATGCATTACCAAAATTTGCAAAGATGAGGATTGACTAGTCAACATATTCATGTACAGACCTCAAAAGCAGATTTCACATATTCTGAATTCTCTCATAAACATCAGCTTTAGTCATGGTCTCATCTCCCACCATTTCTGAATTGTGGAAAGGTGAAGTCAGACTTTTCTGCATTAACAACTCCCTCCATTAATCTCAAAAGAAGATTCCACACTCAATCTCTTCTAAACAAATACTCTACTCAGAGTCAAATATCTCTAAGTGCATTTTTACTTCACTAACATGTGAAACCCAACTACACAAAGTGTATAACTTGGCAATCCTGTACTGTACTACCAGCTACTTCCAATAATCTCAAAAGAAGATTCCACACTCAATCTTTTCTCCTACCCATTTACTCTACTCAGAGTCAAATATCTCGAAGTGCATTTTTACTTCATTATCACAAGCGAAAGCCAACCTTACAATGTGTATAACCAGGCATTCTTGTACTGTACTCCCAGCTACTTCCATTAATCTCAAAAGAAGATTCCACACTCAATCTCTCCTAAACATTTACTCTACTCATAGCCTAATACCTCCTAGTGCAATTTTACTTCACTATCATGTGAAACCCAGCCATACAATGTGTATAACCAGACACTCCTGTGCTGTACTGCTAGCTAACTCGACTGATCTCAAAAGAAGATTCCACAATCTTTTCTCCTAAACTCTTACTCCTCTTATAGTCTTGTACCTCCTAGTACCTTTTTACTTCACTATCGTATGTGACACCCAACCTTACAAAGTGTATAACCAGACACTCCTGTACTGACTACCAGCTACCTCCAATAATCTCAAAAGAAGATTCCACACTCAATCTTTCTTCTAAACATTTACTCTTCATATAATCCTCTACCTCCAAGTGCCTTTTTACTTCACTATCACATGTGAAACCCAACCATACAATGTGTATAAGCACTCTACTGTAAGGCCATCACACTTCGCTGCATAAAAACATCTCTGGCATATCAACATCACGATCAGTTACACAGAGGTATCTCCGGAACATCGTTAAGCACAGAGACACACATAGGAACATGTTAGATAAATATTTGAGACAATAATTGGGAAAGCACCGAGAAAATAATTGTTTTAAACAATATCATATCATCCACACTAACAGTTATCAACCTGCCATTCAATGACATCCTGCCTATTTATCACAATCTGTATTGTATGTGTAAAAGCAGGTAAAATGATACCAAATTATGCAGCAGAACTACAAAAATGCAGCATAATTTAAACAAGTTAGGCAGTGTTAGAAATAAAATTAACACATTGGCAAGAAAGGTACTCAGGGTACTGTACTCATATCCTCTCATACATCAACATGTAGGCCTGCGCTGAGAAAACATCCGCTATATTCATAGGCAGAACACTGGTGTCAGAACAACACAGCCACCTCTCTTTTCTATATGTGCCCTTCACTGTGTTAGGACTGCGGCGATAGGTCACAAAATGTCCTGATGCGACACTTCCCAGGTGGACAATAACGGCACTCAATCTGTACGTGAGAGAGGCTTTTGTAGACTTGCCTAAATCTGTGGGTCCATTGTGATTGACATCAGAATGGCTGTTTTGTGTGTCCGATTGTGGCTTGAGAAACAGTCCATTCTGAGTGGTTCGATTGTCATAATTTAGTGTCCTCAAGAGGTTTACCGGAGGTGCTGTTCCCAGTTTAAAAGTGTTCTCTTCATTTTTCATCCTGGATAAAATTAAAAAAGTCCATTACACACATCTCATTAGATAGTTACATTGGTACAATATAGGGAACATTTAAATTCTCATGATAAAGATATACCACTCATTCATATTAATCCCACTTGAGGGATCAGATTTGTTATCAAAGCTAAATATTCATTTTCCTTCTAAAGTCGATTATTCATTTGTATTATTTGAATGATAGTCGAATATTTGGAACATTTTTAAAAATAAAATTTTATTCCAAACTTTGCATTTGTTTATTTTAGCAAAAACTAAGCAAGAGTTAACCCACTTTGGTTAATTCACTGAAACATGACTTCGGTTAATTCACAGGATACATGTAATTCACTGATACATGATACATACTTAAATTTATATAAAAAGTAACATCAAATGCCTAAATCGATCTGAGAAGTCAGGTTTTAGTTTTAATAAGCATTTAAAAAATTGCCAGCAGGATAATTTTTCAAAGCTTATTAAAATCAAGGGTGGACCAGCCTTCTGCTCAGGTGAGCTAAAAACATAAAACAGTAAAACATTCTTTCAAAGCTTTTTTAAAATCTTTCAAAAAGGTGTTCTATTGAGGTGAAGTTGAAAGGTGCTATAATAGTATAATTATTATAGGAAGGTAGGGGCCAAAATCATCTAAATCCATACAATAAATTAGTTTAAAATCTTTTCCAATACTCCTGTACATCTAGGAAGGAACTATCTAAACTCTTAATTAGCCTGTGCCACAGTCAAAATCTCCAAAGCTATTCTTCTAAATGTTTAAAGTACCACAATTTTAGTTAACAAAACAGGGCTACATTTTTTCTTATATAAATAGTACAGTCAGTTCATTACCCAAAGTGGAATAATTCTCCACCCCCGCTCAGGTCCCCCATTTCTCTGGCCTCCTTGGCTGCTGACTTATGGTAGACAAATTCACTCATGTCTAGAATGTCAGGGTAGGATATGAGTTCATGTCTCTTCACGGGCATCCCATTGTCCATCCACTGGCACCTCTGGATATGGATTGCCAGACATTGTGGGAGCTTTAAAAATAAAAGAATAAAAAAAAAAATTTAGACTTCCTGTTTTCTTAATTTCAAAACTGACTACATAGAACAAATAATTGTAAAGCATGCTAATGCAATGTAGTGAAGAAAAACCTGCTCAAATATTATAGTATTTTCACTAAGAACTTTAGTAAAATAGAATTTAAGAAATTTTATAATGATGCAATGATTCACAGTCACTTTATCCATGTTTTATTGTACATGTTTTTTTCCTTATCGGCGATGCTTACACTTGTCACCCGCGTGGCACAGTGGTTAGAGCAATCGTTCAACAGTTGCCAAGTAAGGAGTTGATCCTTATGTCACGGGTTCGAATCCCACTGTGGGATGTGGAGAACGGTCCTTCAGATGAGACCATATAAATCGAGGTCCCGTGTCACAGTAAGTGCTGGCACGAAAAAGATCCCTCACTGCTCAATAACCCTGAGTGCCGAGCATAGGTCAAAATTTGCAGCTCTCCACCGGCAAGTGGTGGCATCTCAATATGAGTGAAAAATTCTCGAGAGGGACGTTAAACAATAAACAAACAAATGAAACAATGCTTACACTTTAGACTTATTTTGCTAGAACTACACAATTGTTTATGAAGTGAAATATACAAGAAATGTCACTGACCATTCAGCATAACTATAAGTCACTGTCTACTTAAAGTCAAATTTATTGATGAAATTGTAATATAATGTAATAGCTTCTGTTCACTGCTTTTAGTATGATTCAGAAAGAAAGATAACTTTGAAATCTACATGCAACAACAGTTGTCTAATGTAGCCATACAAGGGTTATATACCTTTCCAATGGTAAGTTTTTTCTTAAATGTAGATCGCTTCAGTGGTGCCTTACAGCCCGCAGGTCTGTTTTTTATTTTGCTGCACCCTATACACTCCACATTGTTTACTGTATCAGCACTGATGTAGTGATGGAGGAGAGAATTCAGTGAGCGATCACTCTAAAAAGATATAGGATACCAGGCATCAATGCATAATTGACTGTGTCTCTTTTAAGTGGTAGTCAGTAGACATCAAAACTACTGGCTCAAAACAAAAGTTTATAAAGACACCAAGTCAGATATCCCCCTCTGCATATACGCTATTTTACTAATATACAAACTTTTTCAGTAGACAACAAGCAAGAAATATGTATAGGAACTTTCCATTAAATGAAGACTACATGTGATTAAGAAACATGGTGCTTTAGAGGTACCATCCATTGACAGATATAAAACAGCTCAGTTTTTTCAGAGACTGCACTGTCATTAAATCAAATACATGTATAGCTGATTTGGTCATTTGCTGTCATTTGTTGTTGACACAAAACATGGTCATTTTTGGGACAGAACAGACATTACCGTTAATTTTCCTTGCAGCAATTGATACAATGAAAAGCTAATACCTTCAAATACAATGCAGTTTCAGAGAGTCAATGGATGCATTAAAAGTGCTGATTTAACAACCCCATATATCAAGGAATGGACAATATTAGAAGTCACTGTTAAACTGACCCAGATACTCTGTGGGATGGACAGTGAGAGGCTGTCAAAGTGGTCATATCTGACCGGGTTTCTGTAGCCACACTCGACACACTGTAACTGACTGGCCAGTAGACCACGGAATGGGTGCTCCATCTCACGATGAGGTAATACAGGCAGGGGGCAGTGGATTCTGGACATAGCACCCTCATTCTTCTGGAACTCAGTCTCAGGATTCTTACAGTAAATTATAAAAATACATGTATAGAACTGAAGAATCACAATTTTAAAACATAAATTATTCACATTTTAACCAAATAACGATGTTAAATATAAGGTGTCTTCAATGAAAATTTTGAAAACTATTCTTCAGAAATTTTGCAATTCAGCATATGTGGAAAACAATATTAGTAAGTAAATACCTCAAAGAGGGAGATAACTCCTGGATACTTGGTTGTCTCTTCATCAATTGTCTGTGTCAACACGTGGAACATTTCATGTGCATCCTAAATATGACAGAAAGTTTTCCATACATTTCTTCACATTTGATACATATAACTAACCAACAAAGATAGAAATTGTTAATTTTATCTAATTAACCATTATATGACAAATCTTCATGTTTGATACATGTATATAACTAACCAACAGATAAAAATTGATAATTTTATCTTATTAACCATTACATGACAGGTATATACACAAGGTTCCTTACATTAAATTTATTTAGCATTGTGAGTACATGTCATTAATTTGAATATTGTAAACATCTTTAATTTCACATTTAAGATTTTACAATTTCCATGTTGATAAATTTTACAGTGGTTTTAATTTCATGCATGGTCATTAAATTCCTCTTTACTATATATTTGCAATTTTACTATTATTTTTTAAAAACGAAGTTATGGTAAATTATTTGGTATAAACATATCCAGTGACTAACTTTAACCCCCTATTGGTATTAACCTTGGGCATATCCTAATGATTTTTAAAGATTTACTATTTTTATGAAATATAAAAACAGGACTTTAAAATGTGAAGATAGCTGAATGCTACATTGATATGTCAACAATATTCATGATGGCTTAATTTTCATGGAAAATTCTTTGACTGCGAACATACCGCAATGTACTCCCCTTTAACAGTATGAGAGATTTCCGATTTTTGAGTTGAATTTGATATATACACATTATTTACCTGTTCCTCTGGTGATATGTACCATCTTCTGGCTGCTAGAGCACTGATCACCTCTACTGGGCAGTGGGAGTTATCATAGATCTCGTTCTCATTATTCAACACTGCAAAGTCAATTGTTCAGTACATTGTTTATATATGGTTGTTTAATACAAGAAACTACACATGTATAAGTGAGTCTTCTCAATTTTAACTATTAATGCCCTGGCTGTGTGTGTTCAATACCATCATTACTTCTGTTTTATCTATATTAATGGAAAACAGATGTAACGTTCTAGGATCTCTCTCAAAAATGACTTAGATCTCACAGCAAACTATTCAAGGCTAAATCTTATAATATGGGTGAGAACAGTTTGACAGTAACCTCTGACTGTATCATTCAGTGTTCTGGCCAGTGATGTGGTCTTCTCATGTCCAGAGCTCACAAAATCAGAAAGCCAGTTCCTTACGTGAGAACAAGAAGACAGTCCTTGTAAAACGGAGTTTAAAAAGCAGGTATTGCCAAGATTTACCAGTCCTGGGCAGCGATCTGAAATAAAAAGAACATTTATAGGGATTTAAAATTCAAAATTATAGTGAATCAAGAAAAGACAAGTGTAGACAGATTCATACATGTCTCCATATTTATTATATAATTATAAAAAAATCCAAGCAGAAAAGGGGACATAAATGCTAGTTCTTTTCAATGAAACTTTCAAATACTGTCACTGCAATATACTCCTGCTTTTGAAAGAAGGATATAACTTCCTTAAAACAGCAGCCTCCTGTAAACAAGGTGTGGGAATAAAAACCACTTCCATGACCATTCATTCCGAGGAACAAGTGTGAAATCTGAATAACTCATCCCAAGGTGATTAACCCATGCGATATATACTGTTAACCAATTTTTATTTGCGAGCGAGAAATTTCGCAACCTACTTTAACTCGCGAATATTAATTGCCAGGAACCATTTATTTTGCTTTGTTTTCATAGAGAATATTTCCTCAGTTGAGAAAATTAATCATCGCGGACTGATTTCAAACTGACGAGTTGCAAATAAAAGATAACACGAATAATAGTTGGTTAACAGTACTGTTTTTTTCCAAATATTGAATGTAAAAAAAATCAATTAAAGAATTTCTATACTCATGACATCTACTGGTGTAAAAATGTTGAGTTGGTGTTTAAAATAAAATAAGGTTTTCTTTATTGATATAAGAAATTCTAATGTTTTTTTTTTAAATAGTGGATTAATGGTTCATTTCATCTTATTTATAACATGCTGATCCTGAAACTATGTTTTTAAAGTATCAAAAATACTTCTTTACTTGAACACCTTGTGCTTTGCAATAAAGTAAAGTTCATCCAGAAAAGTGATTTTTGATTGTCAACATACTAAGTATACATGTACATGATATATTGTAAATCACTTTTTATTCAAGAGAACTTTATTTTCAAGTAATTAGATGCAAGACGGTCTGCTCGGGAAAATTTCATTCTCACGTATATTTTCATTAATATACATTATATACAACTTTACCTAGAATTCGTGAAAATTTTGTCTTGCTTATAAATACCAAATACCTATCTCGTAAAAATAAGGTGTTGCGAAAATTTGGTGATCTACAGTACAGTTAAACATGTATAGTACAAACATTTAGTTTGCCTAGTATACTTTCAATAACCAATATATAATTTCAAAACTTAAAGAAATCATACACCCTCATATAAAATATATATATATATATTACTTTAACTTTAGATCATTCAAAATACACAACCAATAAAGATTAACTTGTGGGACCATCACATTTTTTAGTAGACACATATTGGTAATCAAAGTTGAAAGAAATTGTGTATTGCGAATTTGCTGTCTTTCATTTTAAACAAGGGAAAAGGTGAAGATCAAGAACAGAACTTAATCACAAACTTGTTTTATAGATATATTATAACAAAGTACAGATTAAGCAAAGTATATTCACAGGTAAAGAGGAGTTTACTAGAACTGAGTTCTACTGTAAGCAACAGTGTCACCAAGCAAATATGTAATGGTACCTAACAGTCCAGGTATAGATGAGTGCATTTTTTCCACATCTGATAAAAACTTAACATTACAATGTATAGACATGAAGAGGAGGCAAGTACATGTAGCTGCAAAGTACACAGACATAATAACTATATAGATCACCTGAATACATCCAGGAAGGCTCCATCTGAAGAGGTGATATCACACGGGGGGATATCACACTGAATGCTTTAGCTTCTTTGAGTGAGGTGTTCGGAGAAGGGGACTTTGAAGAGGAAACTTGTGATGTACAGACATCTTGAGAAAAGTAAGGAAGGAAAGGATGAAAATTATGAAAAGAAGCAAGTGATGAAGAGAAAGCATGTGAAAGAATTGCAAAGAAAATAAAAAGAATTGTGAAGAAAATAAAGAGAAAGGCTATGAACAAGATTGTTCCAGAAAAAGAAATATCAATTGAAAGACAGAAAGTCAGTACAGTCTATGTGAAAGTCTAAAATTTTTACAGGACATATGGTCTGGTAAAAATATATATTTTACCAGACCAAGCATTTACTTACCAGACCGACCTTTTTCTTTAAATTCATTATTGATTCAGAGATTGAAAGGGGGGGGGGGGGGGAAGGTATTCTCACTGTTAAATTGAACCTTAAATAGATCCAGAGTTGAAATTATTAAAAAAAAAAAATGATTTTACTGAAATGAACAAACTAATTATTGTTTTTTTTTAAAAGGTAATACATATGACAAATGCATACAATTTTCTCTTTTCTGGTTATTTGACACATACAAACGAAATATACTAGTGTCAAAGATTTTTTTCTAAAACTTAAAATGCACTTTAAAATATATTTATTTATTTCCCGAAGTAACTCATAATAGTTACTCTTGTTTAATTATGAAAATAATTTCCCCAACCGAATCTGCGTATGAGCTATCTATAGATGATAAGATCTATATTCCATGACAGAGGAAATTCGAATTAGAAATAACCGATCATGGCAGGGTTGATATACATTAAAATTAATCATGCATTACTGCTAAATGGATCGAATAAAGGATATGTGTGGAAAATAGGACCATATGAACATGTAAATTCAGATTTTTAGGCCTTATTTTTTCATAGGACATTTGGTTCTATATCCTTAATTTTTTTACCGACCCGAACCAAATTTTACCGATAAAAACCGATGATCCGGTGACTTTCGCATAGACTGTCAGTAAAAGTACAGAGGAGATGGTAGGTCAATAGGTGTTGATAAAGAGGTCTATTAACCAATATAAACCTGCAGTCAGAAGATGGATTCAGTGAAAGTCATATTGGAGACATGTCCATTGAAATTTTGTTGTATGGTCACCACTACAGCTACAAAAATTTCTCTTGTTGAAAGGTACTCATTATCATGAGAGCAGTTTGACAGGCTAATGAGTGTGAGATACTGAGTGCGAGAACTGTCTTAAACCCATTAATTCACACCCAAATTATCAGACTTGACCATGAATCTTCCTAATTTTAAGGATTTAATGTCTATTTTTTGTTATAATGAGGTGATAGTCAAACTGTTAGATATTAATGATTAAGGTAACTTGGTGGCAAAGCCACATAAAATTCATATGCTCCCAGGTTTGTAAACTAAAAAACAAAAAATCAAATAAATTTTACAAAAAAGCAACTCACAAATGATTCCATATTTTAACATTTTTTGACTTTTTAATGTCCCTTCCTGTTCTGGCCTAGTAATCTCCTAACATTTCGTTGTATGCAACTAATTATTAATTTTTCATATTTTTGGTTTTTTCTAAGGGTCACTTTTGATTTAAATGAGCCAGGTCATGTGTATCAATTAGGGCTGGGACGATATATCGAGATATCGATAATATCGATTCAATGTGAGGATGATACGCATATCGATACATATGAAGAAATATCGACATATCGCCCAAAAAATTCTGACTAATGTTTTTCTTTGTTTACTTAACATTTTGGGTTTAATATGTAAAATAAATATGCTTAATATAAATCTAAATATAAAATACATAATAATTAAGACCACTTGTGCAAAATAATTAAGTATTACAACAGATATACAACTTCTTTGAATAAATTATTCTTATATGTGAAGAAACGTTTTGTTCACTTCAATATAAAAAAAGGATTTATAACCAATTAAACATATCGTGATACATATCGTATCGTGGCTCAAATATCGGGATACGTATCGATATAGAAAAAGTTGTATCGTCCCAGCCCTAGTATCAATATAGCTTAACAAGATTAAAGAATCTAAACTAGTTAAGTTCTCAATACAGACCATGACAAATAGATTTAGCATGTAGATGCTACATTACCTGGTTATGCCAGACCTGAGTATACCTAAATATTGACTCCACCACACACACGCATGCATACTTATGTTTTCCCATAACAAAAGATAAGACAATACCTTATTTTCAAAATGTCCTCATGATTTGCCATTTGCCACACTTGTTTTTGTAATAATTTTTAACACACAGTATAGGCCTATTAAAACACAAGGTATCTTCTGGGACCAGGGAGGGGGGGGGGTTACCCCATGTCATTCGGAGCTGGAAACCTTGAGTTATTATTATACTATAAGTCGAAAAACATTTTACAGAAACAAGTCCTGTGGTTTGCCACAATACATTTTGAGTGATGATGCCTTTCAATGTCATCATTCGATCATAGTAACAAAGTCACGCCATTTTTTCTTCTCACCTTTTTTCTTGTTGGATTTGCCTGAAGATGAAGTCCATAGGGCATAAGCCCCACCAACAACAGCTGCAGTTATCCCACCAATCCACCAAAAATTCCTATCCATTGTCAACGTGACATGTCACATCCAACGACGTATCAATACCAAGGTAACGACTGCACTGCACTTACAGCCTCCATTAGAACATTCCATTTCAATTTACAAGGGGTTCAGCTTGAACCATAGTCATTTATTTTTGTATTACAATAAATTTTCTTTTTTTCTTAATGATTAAAATAGTATTTGATACCTTTTTAACATTCTTTTAGAAAAATTTTTGTTATATACTCTATATTAAATTTTTTTAAAATCCTGCAACCCCCTTTTAAAAGTGAAAGTAACCAATTTACTTCCGCTTCCTTGGTAGTTATGTCAAATTTTCAAGTTCTGGGAAATTCCGAAAAAATTCTTACCTCAACATGTCTGATTCTAGTGGAGGTTGTGCTAGCTCGCCAACTATTAAGGTAAGTTGATTCTTCAAATCAGTATATCAAAGCAAGAATAAGTTTATCCTATTTATTATTTAAACAGGAAGAACGCAAGCTGTCAGACTTGTCAGGTAATGTTGCATACAATGATACATGACGATATTACATATTTACAGAATGTATGAATTTTATAATGAGAAAATAGGAAGTGTAAAATTTTTGTTTTTCACTTGACATGGATTTTCCAAAAATGAAACGCATAGATTTTCATTTTCCTCAACAGCTCAATAATCTTGTTTATTGTCTATTAAATAAATACTTATTTAAAGCAACAAGAAAGTGGGAAAAAAAGTATCTTTATAACTTTTTATGAAATGGTGTATCAAAATATGAGAATGCAGCCAACATTTATCTTGACATTTATTTTATTTTATTTTATTTATTTATTTTTTAATTTGTAGACACATTCTATAACAGATGACTACATTGTTTTATGGAAGGAAAAGCTGGGAACAGGAATAACTGGTCCAGTCAGGTCAAATAAAGACAAGTTTTCTTATGTTGATTAAAAGAGTTTGAACTTAGCTCAAGTCTGTAAATGTCCTAAGAATTAGTAAAGCCTCCACCCTACTAAAAATGCACAGATTCAGCATGATGTTCAGTAGTTAGAATAATCTAACTGTGTCTCTTGGGACAAGCACCGGGTCCGTAGGACAATATCATTTTAACGATAGAATGTTCTATCTAGATGTTCAGTGTCAGAGAGGGGTAGGGTGTCAAGGAGGGTTTCCTTCTCCTGAGATGGCTGAAGGACTCCCCCAAAGAATAAAATGGTGTCAAATGATTGAATATGACACATTTCCTAGCTAATTGTCTCTAACCACTTATACTACATATAGAATATGTAACTATGCTTGGCTCATGGAATCATTTCAAATCTAATTACACACATTCTTAGTGAGCAGGATTAAAGTTCCAACAGTATAAAATATCTTTGAATGTAGATGTGAATCCTACTTAATAAAATAAATTATTTGATTTTTTAAAAAGGATGTTTTCCAAATTTTCAAAATCTCCATGGGGATTTTTGCCTCTAGTGAAATTTTCTAAAATTTGGAAATTTGGGAATTTTTGCATTGATTTTCATTGAAGTATCATTGACATATGGGGTAGCCCTAAACAGCATCAATTGCACAAGTGAAAGTAGAAAACAATTTTGTGGAATTATTTTAACTTCGGGTTTGGATCATCTAAAACAAGTCAAGTTAGTTTGCTTTTTGTACTGAAATTATTTTTTAGGAGTAAATCACCAATGATACCAAGTTTTAATTGCAATCACAGTGATTACCTATAATTCATAAATCATGTTTTTGACTTTCTACACATTCTGATCCAAAAATCTCTGCTAGTAATTATTTTGATTTTTTGGAACAAACACAGGCAAAGTTAAGTGAAAATGTATGTGTAAATTGAATTTCTTTTAAGGAGAAAACAATACCAGTTTATGTTTAAAGTTATTGTATAGGAAGAGGTATCTAAGGTTACCTTTTTTGATTTGGTACATTGTACTTTGAATAAAATATGTGAGCAAGCTTTCTCTATTTGCAGCTAGGCTACTTGAATCACTCACTGCTCCCTCCCCCCCCCCCCCCCCCCCCATCATTTTAAGTCTCAAGGAATTTTTTTCACTGTTTTTATTTATTTATTATTATTTATTTATTTTCTTATTATTATTAATTTTTTTTTTTTTTTTTTTTTCATTTTTATATGTTTCCTAATCATGCTAATGTTTGAAAATGCATTTCATAATTTTTTTTCGCTAATTTATAACTGGCATATTATCATTTTATTACAGTATAAAATTCACTTTTTAAATAAGAATAATTTCTTTTTCAATTTATTAAACAGAATACTAAATAATAATAACATTTTAGCTCAGAAAAAAATAACAAAAAGTAGTGTTAAGACTTTTAAAGAGCTGTAACAGTTTAAACCTGTGCTGCAATATATATGATCACTCACAGGCCATGTATCAAAAGGGACACGAGAGAGAGGTATGCCCTGAAGTGTATGATGGATGGACCGAAGGCCCACACTGAGGTGAGACTCCACAAACTGTGTAGTGACCATCCAAATATTGTAAAGGTACTGGATGTCTATGCAAATGATGTCCTCTTCCCAGGAGATCCTCACCCTAAGTAAGATTTTGTAAACTTAAATCTCAATTACATTTCTTACTTTAGCAAAAGCTAATGAACATTTGTCATGGACTGTTAACAGACATCTGGAAAATAATATTTAAAAAAAATACCCATTTTGTAATTGTATAAATACATGTTTATCAGTGTCTGGATTCAGTGATCTATTATTGACAAGAATTATGGCTATATAATTCTTCAATCTAACCATGCACAGATGTCAGTATTATTGCTAAATTTATTTCCCATTTTCTTTCTAGAGCACGATTGCTTATGGTGATGGAATTCATGGAGGGAGGGGAGCTCTTTGACAGAATTAGTAAAGAGAGCAAGTTTACAGAGAGAAAGGCTGCCATATACCTCAGGGATATCGCAGAGGCAGTACACAGGTGTCACAGTCTGAATGTGGCTCACAGGGACCTCAAACCAGAAAACCTCCTCCTGAAAAACAACTCAGAGGTTCAGAATAGTTTGTGTTTCACACCTTACACCTTGAACAAAGAATTTAGTGCTGAAGGAAATATACAATTATTGCTGTTTTTGAGGTTGATCAGTACAATAATTTAGCCACCTGAGAAGTACAATATTCATAGAGTCTGAAAGGTGAGGTGAATATTGTGCTTTAAAGGTGGCTAAATCATCGTATTGACTTAAAAAACAACAATAATGGTTTTATTATATGATTCAATGATTAAATGAAGCAATCCATGCCATCTTATTTATTTACATTTACATTAGCCAAATGCAATGAGAGAAGCAGGGTTAAAATAAACACAAAAAAATTTTCAGTGCAATGTAGGAAAAGTAATTGAATTTCAGGCACGTAGGATCAATTTTAAAAGGGGGTATGGGGGCATCATAAGGAAAAAATTGACAACTTACCTGAAAAAATCTTTGACTAGCCCCCCAAAAGAGGGGAGAATTCTCCAAATTCCAAATTTTGAAAGGGGGAGGGGGGCAACCTTTCAAGGAACATTTTCATACAAAATTAAATGTAAATTTACGCTTGGAAAAAAGTGTAAGGAGGGGGCAGCCCCCCCTACTCCCCCACTCCCTTGCTTGAAAAGCTGGGGGATACTTGTAGATTACCAAATTTCACCGACATCTTGTTTTCCCTAGATAGTGCATGTAATATTGAATTTATAAACAAGGCAAAATTTTCAGAAATTCTGTTTATTGTTATACATAATCTTTAATACATGTAACACAATTATATGCAAGAACTTTGTTTTTGCAGGCAGACTGGCTCGCACAATTACATGAAAATACAGTTCCGAATAACAAGTAATATACAGTATAGTGATGGGGTGTCCGTCCATCCATCCATTACACTTGGGGATACCCATCTCTTATCTGCAACTCCTTATATATATATATATATATATATATATATATATATATATATATATATATATATATATATATATACCACTGAATGAAATTTAATTAGACTTTCCTAGAATCTTCACATATTGCCATCATGCACCTCCTATTTACATTTTGATTGGGGCAGGGCACTACTTGGGCTTTCTCATTGCAAAACATGGACTTCACCATTATACTCATATGGGAGCAGGGGGATATCATACTGTGAGCTCATTGCTCATAGCACCTCTGGTTTTTTTCTATTTTGGACTAAAAATAGATTGAGAATTTCCATTTTAATTGATAAAATTAGTTATGAAATCCAGGTGAGCATATATGGGTTTGTGTTTTTTTTTTTTACATAGGACCAAAATTGTATAAAAAACTTCTAAATTGTTCAAATTAATTATGAGGTGTTATTTCACCTGCCCCTGACTTTCAAGTGAATAAAAGATTTATTTTTTCTACATAGCACTTAAAAAATGAATCAAACAAGAAGTCTGTGAGCCAATGCTCACTAGTAATAGCCCCGCTCTGATGTGTATTGTGAATATACACTATAAGCATGGATAAACAGGGAGTTGACCTCAGATTCATACGAAAATAAATCCCACCATATGGCATGCCTAAACAAAGAGTGTGTTAAAATTTCAAGCATCTGCGATGAGTAGTTGCTAAGAAAACTGTGATGAAAATTTGTTATGTATGGTACGGACAGACGCACGGATAAACAGGAAGTTGATATTGGATTCATGCAAAAATAAATCCCACCATATGGCATGCTTAAACAAAGAGTGTGTTAAAATTTCAAGCATCTGCAATGAGTAGTAGCTGAGAAAACTGTGACAAAAATTTGTTATGTATGGTACGGACAGATGCACAGATAAAATGGAAGTTGACATTGGATTTGTACAAAAATGAATCCCACCATATGGCATGCCTAAACAAAGAGTGTGTTAAAATTTCAAGCACCTGCAATGAGTAGTTGCTGAGAAAACTGCGACGAAAAATTTGTTACGGACAGACAGACAGACACACAGACAGACACACAAGGGTAAAACAGTATACCCCCCTCTCCTTCGGAGCGGGGGTATAACAATTCCAAATGAATACAATTGGTTATGTTTATTTTAATCTCACTTCTCTTTCTCCTTACGACTAAGACTTCAACAAATGTAAACAATCAGAAAAAGATGGCAAGCTTTATATTGTTTAACAAGTTCGTATCATTTAATCATTGAATCATATAATAAAATAATAACTCCTTTTTTCAGTAATTACCATGAATTAGCCACCCTCAAAGAACAATATTCCCTCGCCCTTTTGGCTTGTTAAATTTTATTCCATTAAGGTGGCTAAATCATCATATTGACCTTCAAAACAGCAATAATTGTATAATAGAAAATATAGTATATGTAGATTAAAAGTACAAATTGTAGTAAAATATGGTTATATGCACAAAGAAACCCCCAGGGAGGGTCAAACATTGTTTTATTATGTCAGTAAATGATAAGATGCAACATAAATATTTCATTAATTTACTTTATTTGATATCAGAATGGGACTTTGTTATATGTGTCATTTATAAACGTTTTTTTCATTAAATGAGTTTGACTGTAAATACATGTATACCAAGACAACATGGTAACAAAAAGTGAAGGAAGAAGTCTGCTATAAGTGGTACATTAACACGGGGTGTATCCTCCATTTAGGGTGCTGAGATTAAGCTGACTGACTTTGGTTTTGCCAAAGTGGACGATGGAAATCTGCAGACTCCACATTTCACACCTTATTATGTAGCACCTCAGGTATAACAAACTTTGGCAGGATTTATGCTCTTAACTTGTGTACACTTAAAAAGTCAGAAATCTCAAGAAAATATTAATTCTTGTAATGTATGATCTGTGTTAATTGATGGCTTCCCTACATGTGCATGCATTCTTTGTAGGGCTTATGAAAAGTGTGATTTTTTTTTCAGGTTTTAGAGGCTCAGAAATATAAATCCAAACAGAGAAAGGGAGTGATACAGACCTCTAAACCATATACTTATGACAAGGTTCTCTTTTTTAAACTAGTTGCATCTTTATTTTTAACATTATGTTCTTTTTCCAATTCGCTTGAAATGTATTATGTACATAAAACTTCACTTGAAATGTTGATTTATTTGTCAGAGCTGTGATATGTGGAGTGTAGGTGTAATTCTGTACATTATGCTGTGTGGTTATCCCCCTTTCTACTCAGAAACTCCCTCCCGAAACATTACCTCAGAAATGAAAAAGAAAATCCTCTCGGGGAAGTATGAATTTCCTGAGGAGGATTGGAAGTTTATTTCTGATGCTGCAAAGGATGTTGTCAGGAGGTAAAATTACACACACTCACTGGAAAACATTACTGAATTAAACACTTTAATAAAGTTGTGTTCACTGCATATTGAATTCAAGTGCAAAATTTTAAAACATTTTTTTAAAAAATGCATTAAAAAACCAATATTTGGAACCTCTTTCATAATTTCTATAGATTTTGTTTACACATACTTCACATGTATGTTTCAGACTGTTACATGTGGATCCCAGCTGTAGAATGAATATTTATGAGTTGAGGGTCCACCCCTGGATGACAGAGGCCCCAGACACTATTCTACAGTCCCCTGCGGTCTTCTCCAATAAGGTGAGTAGTTATTATAAATATATATAAATTAGGTAAGAGACAATTCAATTAATATTGAAGAATTTTTTCAAAGGTATAAGGTCAAAAATGATGATTTATTGTTTATCTTGGTATATATACTGAAACGCAAAAGAAACGCAACATCATATTTTAGGGGGAAATATTACATATAGGATATAATTTTATACATAAAAAGTAAGGACATCTTCAACTTTGTAAATATTGGTAATTTAACGGTTGAATGATTTTCATACCATTACCGGAAGTTAAGATTGAGTCTGCTTAACAGAAATCAAAAATTGCATGTTTAACAAAA